GTATAGTCTTTTTTTTTTTGCCAAAAAAAATGTATAGTCTCTTAAACACCTAATTACAATAAGTTAATAAAATGATCAAATAAAGAATATATAAATGTACTAGGTATTTTTATATATTCTTCATTTACAGGGGGTCTGATGGCCTAGTGATAAGTACACTGCAATCCCAGATTGAACCCACCAGGTGCCCTGTGAGAGGAGGATGGGCAGTCTCTTCTGTACAAAGGTTTACTGCCTCTGAAAACCCACTGAGGGTTAGTAACGATTGATTCCAACTAGAAAACACACAACAGCAATAACATGTGTATGATAACTCTAATTTTTTTCCCTTTGAGAATGAAATGATTTTTTAATTTTATTTATTTGTGTGTGTATGTATGTATGTACATATGTACGTATTGTCAAATTGGATCTGACTGGTACAGGAGGAGATTGCCCTTCCTTCTCCAGCAGAGCATCTGGTGCATTAGAACCACAAACCTCTGGGATTGCAGTGCAGCTTCTTGCCACTAGGTCACCAGAGTTCCATTGAGAGTGAAAAGATTTTTAAGAATATGTTCCATGTTTCATAATTTGAAGGTTAAATTCTGTAATTCAACTCTTTTTTTCTGGCTACATATATATGCATATATTCATATACATAGATGTATAAAAAATACACACGTAAGTGTTCCTGTATTTTCACAAATAGTACAGTCACTTAACGCATACCCTCCTGCATGGAAAATGTGGGAAAGTCCAAGTTATGTAGGAAAGTATTGGCATAATAACATGCCCAGGTATTGGCTTGCATGTTTTTTTTTATTTTTCCAGGAGTGAATATTATCCTCATTACCCCTGGTCCAATAGTCTGAAAATGTTACTTTTCATTATGTTGTCTATGAAAGGTGTGAGCTCTGGCCAAGAAGTCATGGTTTGAGGTGTATAGTACCTAAGTAATTAGAAACAAAACCATTGAAACGCCACATTTGTTCCTGTAATTTTTTATAATTTTACCATCATGTTTGCATCAAAAGTTGAATCCTTGCACCTAATGAGGCCTGTCCATAAATCCTGTGCTGTGAGTTAGAAGTCTGAACAAGAAGCAGCCTGTAGAAGAACGCCATTAAGTAAAAGTAGGAATCTTGATTCCGTCTGTATTGATATAACTGTTATAATCTTCCTCTTAAACCTTTTAATTGGAGAAGTATAAAATTCAAAACTGATGCAGGATAATTCTTGGTTCAGCAGTTGAATAAGAAAACATTACCAGATCATGACTACCAGAAACATATAATCAGATGCATCCACAGTAAGTATACTGAGAAAGTATTGAAGTGCCCAAAGATTTACTTTTACTTGGATCCACAATCAACATCATGAAAGCATCAGTCAGGAAATCAAACAGTGCATTGAAATTGGCAAATAAGCTACCAGTGACCTCTTTACACTGCTAAAGAGCAAATAGATCGAGTTAAATTCTCAGGTGCATATGTGAAAGTTGAACAATGAATAAGGAAGATTAGAAGAAAATCTATGTCCTTAAATTAGCGTGTTGGAAAATAATATTAAAAAATGCCAGCCAACCACACATGAGAAAAAATTGACCAGATTATCTTCTGTGAAACCAGTAAAATATGTTAGTTCTGCTTATTTTTTTCTGCTCTTAATTGTCTTTTTGTAAGGAAGTATGACTTTAATGTGATATTAATAAATCATGCAGAATTAATTAAATTTTACTTCCAGGCTCAAACTCATTATGGCCAACTCAGTTTAAACCTGTAACAACCCTCCATCAAGTTTCTGAAGCTGTAAGTCTTTATGGGAAGAGACTGCCCATATTTCTCCGTGAAACTACTGGTGGGTTCGAACTGTCAGCTATTCTATTAGCAGTCCAATACATTACACAACTACTCCTTTTTACCACTTCTGCTTATTTTATAGTAGACCCCATGTCTTTGATCAGTGCTCATGAAGATTTTTGAGAAGGTGGAAATCTCTGAACTCAGAACCATTGCAACGAGTATAATTACAAGACTCAAGTGTCTTTTGACATTCAAGTTGCCAGGGTTGTGGCTGTTTCAGAGATGTAAACTTTAGCCATTTCAACCACTGGGCACAAGAAGGCTGACTTCACTGTAGTCTTTGAGAAGAGTGAAAGGAAAGCCAGTGATGATAGTCAAGAGAGTTGCTCTGTTGTGGGCAAAGTGCCCAGCAGTGTGGTTGTTCATTAGAACAAGAAGGGGTGAGTGAACTTTGATATTATGAAAGTGTGGGTAGATAAATGCTACTGAGTTGGGAAGAAAGGGTTGTTTCTGAAGAAGTCTTTGACTAATTTTCACTGACATTTGTAGCTGCTCACAAAGGAAAAATGGTCAGCATTATATTGACTGTTGCCAACATAGCAGTTATATCTAGTGGCCCTACCTGCAAGCTGCAGCTATTGGGTACAGGCTGAAAGCTACCTGTTAAAGATTTGTGAGAAGGGAGTGGGATGAAGGATTGCAGCCTGCCACTCATGAGTTCACACCATCATGATAACTGCAGCAGGTGCCAGCTTTTCAAGACCTCCAGTGGATGGCTTCTGCATGGAAGAGACAACCTAGAAAAGTCCTTAGTAGTTTCAGAGAGCTGGGGTCGTGTGTGTGTGTAGAGTACCAGTGGTGGAGATGCAGACACTGCAGGCAGTAATCATGATAACATGAGTTCAGAGGCTCCAGAACATCCAAAGTCACTCTGATTTATTTCATTGACAATGGTAATGAGGGATCAGACTTTGATGGGTTCTAGGAGTCAGATGATGATAAATAAGCAGGAAAAACCTGTTTTAACATGAAAATAGGTTTTTCTTATAACTTTTATTTCTTGATTTGAAGAATATTGATTATCAAAATTAAGTTACCATTTACAATTGATGAGAGCCGTTTACTGTAGACATCACCTTGTTGTGGTTTTAGATCTTTGAACCTTTCTTTCTTACTCATTTCTAGCTCTTGTGCATTCAGACTCTTTGGATCCAGCATGATACTGCCCCATTCCCATCATAAGCTCAATCAGTTCACCACTGATTATAGTTGATTTAGGAAGATACCTACCGTACATGTCTAGGAGTTCGGTTTTATATAATTTTTGTCTATTGAACAAGAAAAAAGTTGAAGTTGTCAGTGTGACAATATGAGTCTATCATACTTAAGAAAGTAACATTTAGATTGTTTTGCAGTTTGCAAAAACATGTAACCCATTCTATTTTGGGGAAGATATAGCGTATATCTGTGTGTATGTGCATCTCCGTGTGTAAATATCTGTTTATGTTAGATTTAAACTTGTAATCATTCTCCTCTTCCTGATGCAAAATGCATATCCATCCAGCAGGGAATAAGATGTGTATTGAGAAAAGATTTAAGATGAGACTGTTTAACTTGGTAGCTCAGCAGAGAGGCTCATTCTTCTAGAAAAGTCTTGTATCTAATAGTAACTTTTAGGCAATGTTTCCTCCAAAGGGGCATCCAGCTTTTAACCTATTGCTGAAGGAGAAATACCATTGTCTATTAATATTACTGGAACGAAAGATGAATGGTGACTTGGCCTTGATCTGACAGTGAGTTTGATGTTGATAGCCCATCACTTTAAAAGGTTCTTTTATATTTTGGGTTGGGGGGGGAGTAGACAAGCATGATGTCAGGCCAGGGAACAAAACTCGTAATAATATTTAAGACTAAACTTCTAGGGCTTAAAAAAAAAAGCTCCTATGTGAGCAAGTTTTTTTAACACATGCATGACTAATTAGCTTAGGTTATTATAAGCAAGGCTGCTGTGGTAAAGTTTCCGGTGGTGTCTCGGGATACCTTGTTCATAGTGCCTTCTCTTTGCCAGTGAGGCTTTGAATTGGAGTTACGGAAAGTAGAGGGAGTGAATAGTCCACATTTTTTGCTAGGTTGGTGCCATCCGAAAGGTTGTTTTACTGGAAATGCTAGAATACAATCACTATCAGGTGAGCTTTATTCTTATTCATACTAAAGCTTTAGAATATGGTGCAAAAGAAACTGAGGGCTTTATCTGCGTATATGTTTGGAATAGAAACATAGTTTTAAATATATGCAAGTCTATTATTAAATGTTGTTTATTATTCTATGCATGAGAAGGCATTCAACAAAGATTTAAATAAAGAAAATATTAGTAAGCTCTTTTTTTATACCCTCCCCTCTGTGTGACTGTACTCTTTCCATTAGTTCCTATCAGTCAGTAGCTCTTAAGATTAGATTGTATTTATTAAGAAAAGAAGTGATTTTAGGCAGAATATCTTTAGTTTGAAGAGAAGCATTTCCAATTCTGTAATAATGTATTGAGCAACATTGAATAAATAATTGTTGTATACTTTAAAATACATATGTGGAAGTATTCTGTATTTGAAAGAAACTATGTAAAGTGGATTACTTTTTTTGCATCTAGTTGTTTCTTAATTAAAATGTTGAATAATCATGTCCAAATGAAAGTGAGCAGAATTAATCCACAACTGGTTGATTTAAACATCAGAATGTTTCTGTTTATTTTCAACAACCTTTTTGCAGTTGATTCTTAAGGAGGCTTAAAAAAAAAAAAGCAGAAAAGCAGAAAGCTGTTCCGTTCATCAAAGAAAGTGAAATAAATTGAGTTATGCTCTTTCTGGTACCTTGTTTTGATCTTAATAAGCTCTTTTAGGTATGCTGGGAAAATTTGTACAGTAGGTATAGTTGCAAAGTTTTAATTACTAGACATGAAAAGAACAACTGAGCAGATTTGGAAATAATATGTACTTAATTCATAGGAAAAATAAAACAGGACAAAATATCACCCCCAGATCCTGAGAGTTGTACTTTAAACCTAAGTAATTTTAAACCCCATTGGTCCATACCCAATGTACTTAGGGGCTTCCTAATCTGTTTTGTTAATGGACTGGCTAGTCTCGTGTTTTGCCTGCTCCAGAACTGTGGGTGATGCCGAGATAACAGTGTTGTTTCTCTTCTCTTCATGGCTCTGTGCAGGTGCAGACCCACCTTGAAAACCCCACCAAGTACCACATACAGCAAGCCCAAAGGCAGCAGGTAAAGCAGTACCTTTCTACCACTTTAGCAAATAAACATGCCAACCAAGTCCTGAGCTTGCCATGTCCAAACCAGCCTGGCGATCATGTCATGCCACCTGTGCCCGGGAGCAGCGCACCCAACAGCCCCATGGCTATGCTTACACTTAACTCCAACTGTGAAAAAGAGGTAATTCCTTTCTCCTCTACTCTCCTGTTTTCTTAAACTAAATGCCTGTCTGTTGGATATTATTCCTGCACGTAACCATGGACTCTAGAGTTCATCCATGCAGCACCTTCCCTGGCCTCCATCTCATGTCTGCCAGGCTGGCCCCTCAGCTTCTTGTCCTACACCTGAGTTTCTGGGCTACGACACAAATGGACAGCATGGCCTATTCCTATATGGGACACAGAGGCAGGAGGGCTACATCTCTCATCTAGGTTCTCCTTCACTCACTGATTACTGTCTTGTGTTCAGTACCTTTCCTTACAATGTGGTGAAAATGCAGAGAGGAGAAGGTGGAAAAGAAAAGCAAAAATAGAAAAGGTGTAGGGCAGGCAGCTAGAGGTGCTCCTTGCTGTGAATGTCTGTAATTTTTTTTCCTAAAATTTTTAATTTTAACACAAGTTTACAGAAAAGTTATATTTTCATTTATTCATTGTTGTACATTTTACCCCCATCCCTCCCTTCCCCTTTCCTCAGTTTCCCTTTTTTAAAAATAGAATTTTTATTTTATACTGGTTTACTTAAAAAGCTTGTATATGTTGTTTTTCACACGAGATCTTTCCCATTTCCCTTACGCACTTCTCCCTCTACCCATAAAATTGTGTGACCCTATGATTTACCGCCCTGCCCATCCTCGCCCCTCTGCTCCTACTCCCCACCCCCCGATCCTCATACATGTTTTACTAGTTTTCTGTTTCTACAATAATGGTCTTGTACAGTATTTGTCCTTATGGGACTGAGTTAGTTCACTTAGTATAATGCTATCCAGTCCTTCCCAAGTTAGGTAGTGGTTTTCAAAATTATTGTTCCTGCATGGTGCATAATTGGGATATTATTTTTATTTCACCCTTAGTTGAGGGACAGAAAGAAAAAGCATAGAATGTGAGTGGATAGGTTTGATAAATCTGAGAAGTTAACAGTAGCACAAAGGTTTACTAATTGCTCATGTCCATGAAATCTGCTTTTTTAAAAGTGTAAGTTGGAGATGAGATGCAAACACAGATGTAAAATATTTCATACCAAATTATTGTATCAAAAATAAAGCCTAAAATAGCTAGAAGACTAGCAGCTTAATGCCTGCTGTTCCAAAGTGTGAGAAGATGCCTCTCCTTTTAATTGAGTGTGTTATACTCTGAAATATATGTAATTTCAGAGGGAGCTTGCACCGTTTGGTTGATTATCATTTCTACAGTGAATCTTCGCTGTGTCTAAACCAGCCTCCATATTCTTTGTTCTTGTCCATGTTTGTAATTTCGCAAGCTGATACTCTGGAAGTTCTTCATTCAATTACACCTTCTCTCAGAGTCTCTTTTGTGTGAAAGCTTAGTTCATGTTGTTGCTGTGCTTATCGACCTCGTGTGAATATTATGCTGCTGAAAATGAACTTGCAAGTTCAAGTCATGGGCTATGTTTTCTGTATTTTTTGCAGGGATTTTATAAATTTGAAGATCACAACAGGGCGGAGAGTGAGTGCCCGAATATGAACACACATTCCAGAGCGTCGTGCATGCAGGTATGGAAGGACCCAGTAGCCGAAGATGTAGCACTTTGGTTTTATTTTTGGTGGGTTTTTATGGTGTGGTGTTTTTTTTTTTTTAATTTGCATTCATTCATTGTTGCACATTTTCTTCCCTGTACCCCCTGCCCCAGTTTGCTCTTCTCGTTATTATACAGTTCCCGCTAGTCCACTCTACTAAGTATAAGGGGAATATATGATTAGGTATTATTGATATGACGTAAGTCCAGAATAAGAGCTGCATAGTAAAGTCGATGTAGCACTTTGGAATGAGAATCTGTATTGACATGGTGACTGCTGCACTAGGATCTAGTGTGTCAGAAAGTGTGAGGATGGCACAGGATAGAACAGGGTTCAGATCTTTTGTGCATAGGATCGCTGTGAGTGGTACTCTACTTGACAGTACCTAAAAACAACATTTGTTGTTGATCACACCCTCCTGATAATTCAGGATTTTTTCCTCCATTGATTTTTTTTTTTAATTGTAAAAAACCATGAGCAGGCCCACTTTCTTCATGGTGCCTCATGATCAAACAATTACTAGGGAAATAAAATACTAGATTAGGGTTCCCCCACCAAGTTTATTTAAGTCATTAAAAGTAGAATTTTTAAAATAAATTTTAATTAAGAAAGTATAAAATAGTATGTTTTACTGAAACACTGTCATTGATGTATGTGCTATGCTAGTTTGAAGGGCAACAAATTTCCTAAGAGACTCGTAAAGCCAAGATGTGTGTTTTTGTGATTATATATTGTTTTGTAAAAGAAAATCTCAGGGAGCATATATTTTTAAACCTTTTTAAATTAAATAATTTTCCTGGACATCATCTTAAATTGTTAAAAAAGAGTCTTCTAAAATTTCCCATTTAATGGGTATGTCTACTTTTATCTAATAATATGTTTATATATTAAGAGTGTATGTATGTGAGAGAGGGAGGAATGATGATCAACAAAAAGTTTCTCCTTTTTTAGTTTCTGTGTTGACCACCTTATTTTTGTCATAAGGGAAGACCAAATTATTTTTAAAATTTTATCATGCAGTTTTATTTGGTGGAAAAGAAAATTTAAAATTTACAAAGAAAGATTATTTATAAGCTCCCTGGCTCATTTCCCTACACACTTAGAAGAGAGTCTCCTCTTTAAACACATAAAATGGATGTACCTGGAAATGGAAACTAGTTAACAATGTCGCTCGCTTCCGGTTCCTCTTCTGAAGAGTCACTTAGGAAGACCACTGTTTTGAAAGTTTGCTATGATGCTGGAATTGTTAGTACCTCACATGATGTATCCTGATGATCTGAGAAGACTAATAAGGTAGTAAATATTGCTGTCCCCAACTTAACAGATGAGCAAGCTGAGGCTCCTGAAGGTTGGATGCTTTGCCTCTAACATAGAAAGTGGACGAGCCAGGATTCAGCCGAATTCCATGACTTTATAACCTGTTGCTCTAATGAAACTGGCAAGAGGACATAGAAGATCCCCCAGAGTGTCTCTCTGAGTTCTGAAATGTCACTGTGTGCTTATGAAATACTATTCAGACCCCACTATGTGTGTGCACACACACCAGCCAGCTCAGCTGCATTAAGTGTTTATGAAGAAATGTTTTCACAGCCTTCTCTTTGCAACTGCTGCAATGCACATGTAATCACTGTTGTTTATTATCATAACTGATGTTTTGGTTCTTCAGGAATAAAATTGATCTAGTGGGAATGTCAGGCACACAACCGTAATGATAACCTGCTGTACTCCTTGGGGAGTACTGAACACACTGGCACCTGTACAAGGAAGAACTTATTCTACAAGTAATTGTAACATCCATGCTGGGCTAGCACTGGCCTAGGGACTAGTAGCCGCAGGGCCCTACACCAGCCCATGGGGTAGAGGGCTACCTTATGGCTGTATGTTCCTGATCCAAGGTTACATAGCAAATGGATGGGGAAGCCTTGAGAGAAAAAGGAAATAGCAGCTAGCATTCAAGATGAGCAAATTACTGGCTCATCTTTTCTATTTAGGGCAAGCAGTTTAGCATAGCCATCAAGAGCACGGTTAAAACCCTCTTTACATTGGTTGACAATGGGCACCTAGTTCTCCTTGTTTGTGAAGTTTTTCCCTCATCTGGGAGTTTGTAAAATGGTAGTAGCTGTCGTGGTATGGTTATTGTTAACAGTATCACCTGTAAAAAGCCCAGCGCCTGCAGCTTAGTAAGCAAGCACACTGCTGACTGAAGTGTCAGTCGTATGAAGTACTCTCATGAGGCAGGGGCCCAGGACACCTTCTAACTAAGGGCATTACTACTTTGAGTGAAAAAGGACCTTGGACTTCTTTTTGGAGAATTGCACTGGGGAAAGGAGTGTGACTTTGAAGAGTTTTTTTGCTCATTTCAAATTGTCTTCCATTGCTGTTTTTCTTGAAGAGTTTTTTGCTCATTTCAAATTGTCTTCCATTGCTGTTTTTCTTATAGATGGATGATGTAATTGATGACATCATTAGCCTGGAATCAAGTTATAATGAGGAAATCCTGGGCTTGATGGATCCTGCCTTGCAAATGGCTAATACGGTATGGTTTTGCTAAATTTAAGAAAATCTTAAAATATTTTCAATGTTCTACGACTTTTCTTGATCTTGTATTTTAGCTTGCTACGGATTAATTGAGAAACTGTGAAGCAAAAGCTCACAGTTGCATGTAAGTGACTTTGACACCAGAAATTAAGAATTTCTCTCGAGTCTGTTAGTGAATTCATTTCCTAGGCATTTGTTCCCTGCAGTTTAATTCTACTTTCAGTAGAATGTTAAACTCATTGTCATCAAGTCAGAACCACCTCAAAAGTTGATCAATGATTTTTCTGAGGCTGTAAAACATTTCAGAGGGGTTTGTCAATCATTCGCAGCTCAGAGCAGCTGACAGACCAGAAAGGTGCCACCTGTGACTTAACAGCTCAGCTCCATAGACTACATGACCAGAACTCTTCAGAAGGATGTGAGACACACCGGTTCTCTCTGACTTCCACAGCCGATTTGGCACAGAGCAGCCAAAGAAAATGCTGTCGTTTGTAATATTCTCAGTGATGTTCTAGATGGCCTAAAGGAATTAATGCCATTTAGCTTGAGTAAGACAGAATCACTGGAGTTACCCTTCCAATTTATTCTCATTTTTCTAATTTACATTTATTCTAATTTTAGTAAATAAACCAGTAGTCATAATTGCTATAGTATGTTACAGCTCATTTTACTCTGTAATTTGGAGCCTTGTCGATACTTTTCTTTTCTTGGCACTTTATATTTCTGTTACTGTTTTACCAGTCTTTCTGTGGTCCTTGTAATGCCCCTATGAATTGGGGCTTGTATTCATGTTGTCACTTGTAGGACTGGGAAAGCTTGATCATCTCACCTGAGACTACACTGTGTGAGCCAGACTGCTTAGTAAGTTTGTGAATGTGTCAGCTCTTCTTTTTCCTATTAATGACCTGATCCTGTCCTATTCTTTAATAGTCCATATTGGGAAGATTGTTTTATAACATTTATGACTTTATAATTGAATGTTTATTTATAGCTTCCCACTATAAATTTCCTTGCTCAGTGAATATCATGGTGTTTAATTGTTTACACCAAAATAGTTTGTAGTTTTTTAACAATTGCTTATAATAAGATTTATGCTTAAGTCTTTTTTCCTTTGGATAACTTTATTTTTTTTAGATATCTTATTTTTTAAATTGAAATTTTAATGAAAATTTATAGACAACTTGGATTTCTATTCATTCATTGTTGCACATTTTCCTCCGTGCTCCCCCTCGCCCCCAGTTCACTTTTCTCTTTGAAATAAAAATTCTTTGTTATACAGTCACCCTCTCCCCAGTCAACTTTACTATGCAACTCTTATTCTGGACTCTTGTCATACCAATAATACCTAATCATCTATTCCTTTTATACACTTCTCTCTCATCTGTTCCAATGCCATGTACATTATTTATCCCCTTTTTTCTTAGTTTCCTCCCAACCCCCATGTCAGTCCTGTTTTACAACAGTGACATTACACAGTATTTGTCCTTTTGTGACTGGTGAACTGAGTTTTTAGCATTAGTATTTTCTTGTCCTTTTCAGCCCCATCTCTAGCCAGGTTTTTTTAAATTTTTTTTTTTATTATTGATTTCAATTAAAATTTACAGAGACTTTGGATTTCCATTCATTCATTGTTGCTCTTTTCTCCCTGCCCACCCCTCTTCCTGCTACACTCTTCTCTTTGAAAAGTAAAAGAAAAATTATTTTATTGTTTTACAATTCCTCCCTCAAGGTTCACTCCACTATGTAGCCTTCGTCTGGACTCCCATCATGTCAAAAATACCTAATCACATATCCCTTTTAAACAGTTTTCTCTCTCATCTGTTTCAATGCAGTATACATTATTTATCCCATCTTTCTTAGTCTCCCCCAACCCCGATGTTAGTCCCATTTTACAACAGTGGCACCATGCAGTATGTGTCCTTTTGTGACTGAGATATTTCATTCAGCATAGTGTCCTTCAGCGTCATCCATTTTGAATAATATTGCATGAGTTCCTTGTTTTTCAATGCAATCCATTGTGTGAATATACCACAGCTTATTTATCCATTCATTTGTTGATGGGCACTTAGGTTGTTTCCAACTCCTTGCTGTTGTGAACAAAGCCGCAGTAAACATGGGTGTGCATATATCTGCTTGGGTGGTAGTTATGGTCTCTTTGGGGTTTATTCCCAGTAGTGGAATTGCTGGGTCAAATGGTATCTCTATTTGCAACTTTTTGAGAAAGCGCCACACCTCCTTCCACAGTGGTTGCACCATTTTACACTTCCACCAATGGTGAATAAGGGTTCCAGTTTCTCCACAACCTCACCAGCATTTGTTGTTTGCTGTTCTGTTAAATTTTGCTATTCTTACTGGGATGAAATGATATCTCATAGTTGTTTTGATGTGCATCTCTCTTAGAGCTAGGGATTTTGAACATTTCTTCATGTGCTTGTTGGCCATCTGAATGTCTTCTTTGGCCAATTGGATCATTTACCTTTATCTTGTTCTGGTGCTCAGGTATTTTATAAATTCTAGATATAAGTCCCCTATCTGACATGTCATTAACAAATACTCTTTCCCCAGTCTGTGGCTTCCCTTTTTTTCCTGTTGGAGAAGTTCTTTTATGTGCATAGGGATTTGATTCTTAGAAGGTCCCATTCATCTATTTTATCTTCTCCTGTTTGTAGAACCAGTTCTTTTAAGTTCTTGATTATAGTCCTGAAGGACAAGGACTGCCCTTGAAAGATCAGAGTTTCTTGTAGGTTCTTTAGCTCTGACTCCTTCCCCCCATGCACTCCCCCTCTGGTTTGAGGAGAACCACATTATACCCTGCCATGCTGAAACCTGTTTCTATCCTAAGCTGTCCCACCCTCTCTGAACTCCTGGGTACCATCCCTGGGACCCTTCTGCTTCCAGCTATGTACATCCCATGAGGCCAGGTACACTCACCAGCAGTCAGAACCCAAGGATGAACATGAGCAAAACACTTGAGGGAGCTGGCTCTAGGGAATCTATAAATACATCCTAAGACGTTGATGTCTTTACAATGTATTCACTGCCCCAGCAGAATTAATTAGCAGTAGCCCAGACTTCTCAAAAGACTTTGCTTTGAAAATGGACATTTTGCCACTGGTGCCAAATGGGTACCTCCATACATCTAGAAGAATTGTAGTGTTGGCATGAGTTTGTCAAGTTACTGCTTTATACTTGCTTACTTTCCTCAATGTATCAAGTCAGTCTTCTCTGTGTGTCCTTGATATCCCCCATAAAATATCTTCTCTCCAGCTTCTTACATACCTCCAATGAAAAAAAAAAACATTTATATAGGCCAGCAAATCTATCCCAACTCATAAGGTTCCTCTATGATAAAGTAAAAACTACATTATAAAGTCTTCTCTGATGAGAAGTTCATAGGGAGTTGCACTGCAAACCCAGGGAGACTGTGTCTCTAGCAGTTTGAATCCGCCAATAGCTCCTCAAGAGACAGACGAGTAATCTCCTCCTGTGCCACTTACAACCTCAGAAAAGCTGCTGGAGGGTCAGCTGAGAGCTGGTCAGACCCTATGGCAATCTGAGGAACATTTATGAGAGCAGATTGTCAGGTTTTTCTCCCTTAAAGTAGTTGATAGATTAAAACCTCCAACTTCTTAGGCGGCAATGTCACTACTTAACTACTGCACCACCAGAGTTTCTTGTTCATGTCCTAGGGAAGAAGTAAAGCACAGCATCAGGATCAGGAGATCCATAGCACAACCTGGGCTCAGGTCCTTAGTCTGCTGTTAACTCTGTGTCTATGCACATGACTTCACTTCTCAGAGCCCTGCATTTCTCTCTAAAACAGGTCTGGTCACAGTACCGCCCTCACAGGAGTCCTCTCTCTCTGTCAGCTCCCTGTAGTATTTAGCATTGGAAACTAGAGTTACAGTCAAAAAGACCGTATGAATTGTTATGTGTCATTTATTCATTATAGTATCAAATAATGTCGAGAGCATTTGTTCATTCAGCTAGTATTCATGAGCACCTTCAGTGTGTCCAAGTCTGGTGGAATAACAGCCTACTTAGTAATCAGGACATTTCTCAGAGTGAAACTCCCCGTAAGCTCCAGGCAGGAGCCTCAGCTAGTAGCCTAGCTCTGCTTCATGGGGAACATTTCCTTCTGAGAACATTTGGTTTAACCCATAGGCTGCTCTCCTTTCAGCTGAAGCCCTGTGCCATAGTCTGTCTGCTTTAGAGTCATTTCATGCCCGTACTGTCTGCTTGCTCCTGAACTATTCTCAAGACTGAGTTGGCATTAATAAATGCTTTGTATGTGGCTACTAGCAGTTGGTCAGAGACTTTGGGTGTTGAGATGAATATGATGTTTCCTGCTCTGTTGGATTTACTGGTTTAAAGGAAGACCGGTTTAGCAGAGAGGCTATCTCAGCAGGATTCAAAGTACCCTGGGCAGAGTTGAATTCATTCCAAGTTGGGAGAGGAGTAACCTGTAGCCATTGTCTGAAGACACTGCTTTTGTCTTAGTATCCTTTTCTCCTCTGTACTCTCACTCTGGAAAGACTACACATGTGCCCATCAGGGTCCTTCCCAGGCTGTGTGCCCTCAGCATTTCACTGTCAGGAGAACAGAAGTGTGGCCCAGGACTTAGGAACACAGGCTCTGAACCAGAGACCTGAGTTAGATGCCTAATGAGGAGCAAGTATTTGACATCTCTGTTTCAGTTTCTTTATATGTAAAGTGGGAATAAAAATAGACTCTCCCCCAAGAGAGGCCTGAAGTAGTTTATCCATAAGAAGTACTAAATTATGTATGTATACTGCATTGAAACAGATGAGGAAGAGAACTGTTTAAAAGGGATATATGGTTAGGTTTATTGTCATGACAGGAATATAGAATGAAGGCTGCATAGTAGAGTAGACTTGGGAAGGATTATGTAACAGTGAAAGAAGTTTTCTTTTACTTTTCAAAGAGAAAAGCGAACTTGGGAGGAGATGTGTACAGGGAGAAAAGTACAACAATGAA